GGAAAGAGAGAAGTTGACTGTCGGATCGAAGGCGCAACGTGCTTTCGTGCACCCTCGGGGTAGAAGACGACGACGGCGACCTCGACCGAGAGCCGATATCCGTTCTTTGGTGAGCACCTCGGCTTTGAGTCACTTTTTTCTCTTCTCACGAAATTTCATAACAACCGACCGAATATATAGATCGTTTTTGCTTTGCTCGCAGAGCACGGGCAGTTTCGTCGCTGGCGCGACGGGGAAGGGGCGGGCGGCGGTGGTTGGTTAGCGGTGGGCCGGAAGGGGGAGGGAGCACCTTGCTGTCTCTCTCGCTCGCACTGATTGTCAAGGGAGTCATCCATTTTGTTTACACGCAAGTAATTCGTATTTTCCAAATTTTTATTACTTCACCTGTGTTTTAAAGTTGGCTATTTATGATATTAACGTTATATTGTCTTGTTCTCAAAAAACTTTGCATCTACGAGCTTGCGTGCACTTGTAAATATTATTCTCTGTGATGAAAATGAGGAATCGCGTCGATTGATGATTCGGTCAAGATTGCTTCGAACAGAAACGAATTTATATTTATAACAGTAGTGCTGTTTATTACCTTATACTACGTTTTTGTTTTATTAATTTTTTTTTATTTTTTCTTGTCGTTACGTTTATGGAGCATTTTCACAGACGTCCGTTTCATTTCATAGAATTGATAATGACACTTTTGAGATGTGCATTATTTTTTTAAACTTAAACCTTATTAAATCATGCGCTTTTAAATGACAGTACGTATGTAAACAAATATTACATTATTCGATTTTCCATTGTTCTTAAAGCACCATTCCAATTATAAAATGCCCTGTTAAATTATCTTCTGATGCACTTCATTTTCTTCTGTTACAGGATGGATATTTCATCGCATAGCTGGATTCATTTAATTACATGGGCATGAATTTAAAGTGATACAATACATTAATAAATCTATTCACACACACTAGACGCATTTCCGCACGCACGCGCATACAATCATACATGCGTACATACATACACGCATAGGCAAATACACGCATATATATATATATATATATATATATATATATATATACATAATTACATACACGCACGCATACACACACACACACACACACACACAGGCATATATATAAATATATATATATATATATATATATTTATTTATTTATATACACAGCTATATAAGCAATATATAGCATTGGCGAATAAAATATATCACAAGAATGTGATAGTTTTCTTTGTTTTTGTACGATACAAAAATAAAAATGGTTAGTAATACATCGAGTAGTGTCCCAAGAATACAGGTCTTCCGACCCACATACGAGGAATTTAAAGACTTTACTAAATATGTGGAATATATGGAGAGTCAGAATGCTCATAAGGCTGGCGTTGCTAAAGTTATTCCTCCCGTGGAATGGATCGCTCGAAAGAATGGATACAATATGGAAGACATAAATCTTACTATTCCGGCCCCTATTTGTCAAGTAGTAACTGGTAAGCAAGGACTTTACCAACAAATAAATATACAAAAGAAATCCATGACTGTAAAAGAGTATGAGAAACTCGCCACATCAGAGCGATACAGGACACCAAAACATTTTGATTACGAAGATTTAGAAAGAAAATATTGGAAAAACATTACCTATGTTGCACCCATATATGGTGCTGATGTTTCTGGATCCTTAACGGATCCAGGTGTTAAAGAATGGAATATTAATCATTTAGGAACTATATTAGACTACGTTAACAAAGATTATGGAATCTCGATAGAAGGCGTTAACACAGCTTATTTATATTTTGGTATGTGGAAAACAACGTTTGCATGGCATACCGAAGATATGGATCTGTATTCGATCAATTATCTTCATTTTGGTGCTCCAAAAACATGGTATGCTATACCACCAGAGCATGGTAGAAGACTCGAGCGTTTAGCAAGCGGCTTTTTTCCATCAAGCTATCAAAGTTGTCAGGCCTTCCTTCGTCACAAAATGTCACTGATATCTCCTCAAGTGCTTCGACAATATTCTATTCCCCATGATAAGGTATGTTAAGAAAACTAGAAAACATAAACTAACTTGAAATCTTATTTAATATCATGTATTTTCATTAATTCGTCAGATAACTCAAGAAGCGGGTGAAATTATGATCACATTCCCCTACGGCTACCATGCAGGTTTTAATCATGGTTTCAACTGCGCGGAGTCTACGAATTTCGCTACACCTCGTTGGGTTGAATATGGAAAAAGGGCCACTCAATGTACATGCAGTTCTGATATGGTGAAAATATCAATGAAAACTTTTGTACAGCGTTTTCAGCCCGAACGGTATGATTTATCTACCTTTACAGTCTAATCTATCGAAGTAATTCCTTACATAATAAATCATTTCAACAGCTATGATCTGTGGTTACGAGGCGAGGATGTTGGACCACATCCAGAAGATCCAAGACAAACAGCTGCTCCTCCCCCGACAGCAATGGACCTTTTGTGTATAAAAAATAGCCAAGCATCGGACGGATATAATGATGTTGTGCCAAAAAATAAGAGGCACACAATTCATCGTAAGAAGAATGTTATTGATTCAAATGCCGTTGTCAATGTCAATGCGATTCCACCAGACATTCCGCCCGACGTGAAGAAAGCTTTGCAAGATTTAGAAATGGAAGAAACCGATGAGCACGTAGAAGAGCAGCCTGATGAGCAGCAGTTAGAAGTTCTAGAGGATATTTGGTTAAAAGCAGGAGAAATGGGTAATGTACAATAAAAATTATTTATTTCTTAACACTTTAGATTTTATGTTATTTTACAATGGTGTCTTTTGCATAGATTTAGCGGAAGCCAATGTTTACGATGATGGATATAATCGTAAAAAAAGTCGTAAAAGAAAGCGAAAGTCACAAAGTAGTTTAGAGAAAAGAAGTTTAAAAACAAAATCCAATGCAATAAAATCTAATATTGCTAATATGTCAGAAGCACGAAAAGAAGAATTGGAACTGTCTAAAGATGATGGATTTATAAATATTCCGTGTATGGTTATACCAAATTTGAAAATTCACAATCCGATAAAGTCGAGCTCGGATAATTCCGATCAAATGAAGAAAAAATATAAAATAAAATCGTCAATTATCAAACGAAATGATAATGTAGTAATATTACCGAAGGAGGAATTACTACCACCCAAAGAAGAAACTTTTATTGAAATTCCTTGTATGAATTTACCTGATTTTAAAATGCCAAATAGTCCGACAACAGATCCCCTTGAAACACTAGATGATGATTTTGTAAATAAAAAACACATGCCAGAATTATTTTCAACCGATTTAACTAATTTAACTAGTTTAGAAGTTACTCCGAAGAGAAAAAAGAAAAAACACTCTAAAAATGGGGAGTCTAGTAAGAATAAGGTGAAAAATTCGAAGAAAAAGAAGAACAAAGAAGACGGTTCTGTGTTAGATGTGTCGGATGTAAATGTTCTTCGACAGCTTGTAACTGGACATCACTCGATTAAAAAATCATCTAACATTAAAGGCGAAGCTTATAATTCTTATGAATCAAAAACAAAAACGGGAAAACATGTTCATCAGAACAATGAATTAACCCCTACAAAGCAAAAGACTGTTTTAAATATTGCTAATGATAAGAAATTAGTTTCTAGTATATCGAAAAAAGTGTCAAAAGTTGGTAAGACTTCCATTTTAGCCAAAAGTTCAAATCCGCTGAAAGATAAAACTAACGGCCGTTTAAAAACGAACAAATGTAAAGGAACTATTAGCGTGAGAAAAAATCTTTTAAAACCACCGATTCTTCAAATACCAAATGATCATGAAGACGACAAGCCTGCTACTAATTTAAAATCCGAATCTAATTTTTACTCCTGTGAAATCAATTCTACATTTAATAATACGTGGCCCATTACCTCAAGCGACATGTCCGTAAAACCAATTAGCACTTTGTTTAATACAGAAACGAATCTTAATCAAGAATCGTCGTTTGGACAACAAAGTACATTAATGCATCCTTTCCAATGCCGACAATCCTTAAGTAATCAACGCCTTAAATTTGGTCTTAACAAGCTTACAAACTCAAACGCAGATGTTAATTCAGTTAACAGTGAGAAGGTGTCGTCTAAGAACTTTTGGCAAGTCGGTAATAAAACCCTCTATTTCACGAATAATAAAGAAAGTAATAGAAATTTATCAAGCTTTTCAAGTACAAATCAAATAAATTATGCAACAGTGTCGAGCGCCAAAAATTCAACCTCGGATAATTTGATCTCAAGTAGCCATGGCAATAAACTCGACACTTGTGTAAATTCAAATTTCAATTCAAGTGGATTGCCCGAATTAATAAAAATAACTCCTAGAATGCTTTTAAATTCATCGAATAAGTCATTATTGATGGAGAGCAAGTCGACAAATAAAATTTCGCTACAGCACAGCGACGAGAGGTCGTTATTTAAAGATAATGTTGAACTAAAAACATTTGTAAATTCTCAGATAGCTTCGAGTTTCCCAATCTCGGAGTCGCTGTCACAGGAAACTAATCAAAATCAATCTAAAGTTACTACTGGAACACAAGTGGACATCTTGCCATCTTACATATCGTCCAATGATGACCTATCAATTACGATAGTACCCAAAAGTAATAAGACTTCGATTTCCAGTAATTTAGGTTCACCAAGAAAGCAAGCAACTCCACGGAAACTGAAATTAAGAGATTCAAAGAACATGCAAATCCGTAACGATACCGAAGTATCAGTCATAACCCAAAAATCATCGAGTTTAAATGAAAACAGAAGCTCAAGTTTTAAAAGGAAGCCGAAAGATGTACATGAAAATATTGATAGTTTATTAAGTGGTTTAGTAATACCAAAGCTAGAACCTGAAGTACAAATAGATTCCCAGTCATCTATAGAAATAAAAAGAGAGAATATAAAGGTAGAGTGTCAAGAAGATACGAATAGCGAGTCAGAATATGATTCTCATACAATTCCAGAGCACATTAAGCCAATGCTTTATCCAAGCATACCAGACCTTAATGTATTACAAACATTTAATCATTATTGGAGTGCGCATATACCACATTGTGCTATATGTACAGCGTTTGCTTTATATAATCATAAGGGCAGTAAGCAAATGTCACCAGAGTGGCAACAATCTAAACCAACAGTATTACCCGAAAATTCTCCCATATGGGTAAGGACTAAACGTGCACGACACTCGATGGCACACGTATTAAGAGATAACCCTCGTAATAGTATTTAATTGAACAATTTAATTTTATAGGTTTCTTCGGATCTCTTCGCTGCAAATTCGTTAGAGCAACGAACAGAGCCAGAAAACAATAAACTTCTGCGATGCAGGAATTGTCAAGTGACGGTTCACGTCTCTTGTTACGGAGTCACAGTATTGCCTTTAGATTCGCAAAATTGGGCTTGTGACATTTGTCAGTTTGGCAAATCAACTGTTGTAAGTAATGTCGTATTATTCTCTCTCTCTCTCTCTCTCTCTCTCTCTCTCTCTATCTATCTATCTATCTATCTATCTATCTATCTATATATCTCTATCTATCTATCTATCTATCTATTTATCTATCTATCTATCCCTCTCCCTCTCCCTCTCCCTCTCTTTTTCGTTTTTCTTTCGTTTTTATCGGCTAAAATTATAAATCTATTTTTTATTATAGATGTGCTGTCTTTGCCCTATGCGAGGCGGGGCTTTAAAAAGGACTAGTGACAGTCAATGGGTGCACGTACTGTGTGCCCTTCTCTTAGGTGCAAGATTTAAGGATCCTGTAAATAAAGAGCCTATCAATGTATTGGCCGTAAATCGTCCTGCAGATGAATTAGAGTGCTGCTATTGTAAACAAAATAATGGAGCATTTTTGAAATGTCACGATAAACAATGTAACGCGCTCTTTCACCTTACTTGCGGTCTCCTAACTGGTGCAATGTTTGCAATATCTCGATCGAAAAGTCATGAATTGGAGGTATGGATAAATAGATATTATTGGAGAGCCTTACATAACAATTAATTCACTATCGAACTCATAAAAAACATCGATTATTAATCAATGCTGGAATATCGTTCGATCAATGAAAATTCCTTACCTTTGTCACAATCATTCCCCTTATGTCCACGTTGATCATCAAAAATTCGTAAAATCATGAACGATACTTTTTATTCCGTTATATACGATTTGTATTTATATTTAAAATTTTCATTTTATTATTTGAATCCCTTTGATTATAATACTAAATGTATTTCTCCGCTTTTTTGTTTCTTTCATTACAGGTATTGTGTAGTAAACATGATACCGGGGAGAAAATTCCTATTGGACAAGGAGAAGTTGTTTATGCAAAACATAAGAATACGCGATACTACCACGCAGACGTAATATCAGTATCGGACAAAATTTGCTTTCTAGTAGTTTTTAAAGATGAGAGTTTCTCTAATGATTTGCCACCGGAAGATGTAGTCGTACGTATTTGACATTATGAGAAAGAATTTTATTTAAACAAAAATGTTGAATAAAAAATTATTTACTTTTTATATAGGACTATAAGCCTGGAAAAATACCAGCAATCGGGACAGAAATAATGGTCAACTGGAAGCAAGACGGCGTTTTTCCAGCAACTTTTACTGGAGTTGATCACGCTATTACATATACGGTAGGTAATCACACACAATAGCGTATAAAATTTATAAGTGAATTATATAGTATAATTAAATAAATTATGTAATAATAATTACCGACAATTCTATTCAATCGTTACAGGTTTCATTTGAAGACGGTTCGATACATCAATTAAAGCGTAATGATATATATAGTCTCGAAGAAGAGTTACCGAAAAGAGTGCAATCGCGTTTGGTGAGTTATGTTTAAATGTTGACTTTGAAACATGTACGAGTACAGAGTCTTTAAGGAATAGACTAGTTGCGTGTACAGTAAATGTACTGTAGAATTTTACAAAAAAATATAAGTAGGAAATACATTTTAGTCTAAGAAGAGTCGGTGTTGCTGCATTGCATTTCACTTAATCCATGAAAAATTCCTCGACACTTAATCAATCGGTTTCCTACACGTGCTTACGCTCATTATTGGGAAAATGTTTATAGTTTTATCATCATCATTATCATCATCATCATAATCATTATTATTATTATTATTATTATTATTATTATTATTATTACTACTGTTATTATACGAGAAGGTTAGAGCGCGTATACGAGAAATTTGCCAAATTCGACGCTCGCGGTTATAATTTCAATAATTATGTTCTTCGTCTTATTTTAAATTCTTCGTTTTTTCGTATTATTTAAAATTATATTTAATTATTGAAACGGTAAACGATTAAACAATACGTCAACAATTTTATTAATTTTTTAATTTTTATTTTATGTTTTTGTTGGGTGTTTGCTGTGTATTTAAAGTCTGCTGCTACGGAAATGCAACACCGTGGACATCTGTACGGAATGGAAAATGGAAATGAATTGCA